TATATATACACATATACATATATATTCATGGACAAATCTTTAGTAAAAATACTTCATTAAAAAATCTGATTTTTTGTGTAGAAAAGACTTGTAATGCTTACTGAAAGTTTGCCAAATGTATTGTATGGAAACGATAATGAGTACAAAGTGGTTACGAGGTCGGTCAAATAGACTGACCTCGTGGTGAGAGAGTTAATATATATTTATTACTATGACAAAAAACAAAACTACTTGTGAATAACATATTTTTTAAATTTAAGATTTATAGATGAAACTACTAACTTGAAGAGCTTGATAGGAGACAGTCTGTAGGTCAAACAACGATAACTTATATTCACTGGATCCTCTGGCCTCGTGACGGATATTTTCAAACAGATCAGCAGCTCGGTATAACTGTTGCTGGGCGCCTTCTAAGTCTCCATGACCCCAAAGAGCAAGTCCTAGTCGATGACGAATTTTAGCTTCATCCTCTCTACGTCCCAGTTGTTCTGCAATTTGTAGACCCTGTTGAAGATAGGCCACTGCCTGGGGTGTATTACCTAAAGCATGATGCACACGACCTAATTGAGGATTAATAAAAACATTAGTCTTAAATTGACTTAGAGTGTAATTCTCACTGCTGTTTCTCATTATTGCTCAAATAAACATATAATGAAAAACATAAAATAAGGATATGAACACATTAACAATACACTTTTCCCTTCTTTAGCTTAATTTTATTCAGTGACAAAGACAGCCTATTTCAAGTTAAAAATGAATATTACAAAAACTTTTTAAGAGGATTTATAAAATCAATTCTTTTTAAGTTTTATTTATATCATTTTCCTAACTGAAAAGTTGTACTTCTAATCATGCCATAATTGATCATTATCAAAGTAAGTTTTTATGGTTGAAGATACATATTTCATTACTCAAACAAGAGAGATAAACCATGAAATAATTGTTTGAAACTTTGAAAGAAGGTTTCAAAATCTTTATTTCTTAAACTTTTGGTTTTAATGATGTAATAGGAAACTTTCAAGTCAAATTAATCAGTATAATAAAATTCACCTAAGCTGCTGTAAGCAAGAGTTTTTGCCAGTTTGTCATTAATCTGAGCAGCTATACTGAGGTGTTGTTCCTGGTACATGATGGCCTGTTCAAATTCTCCTAAAGACTCATGAGTGACACCAAGGTTTCCATAGGCTCGACCCTGAGCAGCCATATTTCCAGTCTCCTCAGCAATAGCTAGGTCCAGCTGGTGATATCTGAGGGCTCGTTTATGATCACCCATCTGCTGGTAGACAGTTCCTAAGCCACAAGCTGCATCAGCTTCTGTTGCTCGGTTAACAAGTTCTTGGGCTAATGACATTTGGTGTTCTAAGCAGGAAATACCTTGTTCAAAGTTCCCTAGCTGGCTGTGTATACCACCCAGTTCACCATAAGCAGAAGCTTTTCCAGTAAGATTACCCAACTCATGAGCAACAACCAGTCTTTTCTCAAAACACACCTGAAATAAAAGAACAATAAACTGCTAGCACAAGAAATAAATTGGACACAATAATAAACCCGCAGAATGACTTGATATGAGCTTGAAAGTGAGCAAAGTTCTAATGAGAAATATTTAACCTGTAGTTTCAGCTGTATCAACATAGGCACTCAAAAAAAGCTTGCAAGCTCCATTATAATTACATTGACAGTGATTCTCTTCATTATTTCACTTTTTTTGAAAAACCTAATGTCCAATCTGAAGATAAAGAAAGAGAAAAGGCTTAAGTAATGAAATATGAGCCACTAAGTAAAAAATAAACCAGAAAAAAAAATGAACACACCCACATATAAACTAATAAAGAAATTGTCAACTAATTAAAACCTCTTTAAAGTTTTGAAAAACACAGAAAAATGGTACCAATGGATAAGGTATAACATGGTGAGCAATATTTAATTTGGAAGGCTTAAAAACAGACAAACATATAAAAACTGTTATTATATATTAATTTGGTTATAGTAAAACCAACCAAATGATAGAATAATTATGTATTTAGTAATTATTTAGAACTATACTTCTTTTCTATGAAAATGTGGTACAGAGAAAGACAAAATTCCGTGCTCTATGGTAAATTTGAGGAGAAATACTAATATCCATGTTCCATGATCAATGTGTGGAGAAAAGCTTAACATAAGAAAGGTCTGTTATGAGTTTCCAACAAATGTTGTTTTTGAAGTTAGGTTTGCAAAATATTCCTTATGCTTATAAATCATTGTTTGCCTACCTATTAAGAATTATGAATATTAATTTTTGTGTGCTGTAAATTATAGAAAAGAAAAAAGAAAACATTTCTCTAATAGATTACCATGAAAGCATTTTATATTCATTAAGATCTTACTTTAGGTACTCAACAATGATATGGATTTTTAAATAAAGATTTTAGTGTTTGCACCAACTGATTAAACTGGTACACCTTGGTCACTTTTCTATATAAATTTTACTTGCAATTAGCCTAAATTAAACCCAGGTGTTAAGGTTTGAATATATTTCATAGCTCAATACGATAAATGACTTACAGACACATGTACATATATATACAAATACTGATGGGCAAATAATATTTTTACTGTGGAATAATTTGTACACTTAGCAAACATGTAAAGTTTTGATTTTTATTCAACATGAAAACATAGTTACCAATGCCTGCTGAAGGTTGCCCAGACAGCGGTGGGAATTACCTAAACCTCGATATGCCCGTTCTTTATCTCGTGGAGACTGTACTTTGAGGGCAATGGCTAGGTACTGTTCATGGCACTTAACAGCTTCTTCAAAATCACCAAGAGCATCATAACAGTCTCCAAGGTTCCCATAAGCCCTTCCTTTATCCAATAGGGCTGTGTTGCTTCCCAGCTGAGGAAAAAAAAAGACCTTTGTGATAAAATTATCCCAGTAATTATAGGCCTATTAGTCTTACATTAGTTGTGGGAAAAGTTTTGCAAAGTCTGATAAAAGATGCTTTGCAAAGTCATTTAAGAAAGTTTAGAATTTTATTAGATAGTCAACATAGTTTCACTAAGGGAAAATCTTGCCTTACAAATCTTTTGACTTTCTTTGAAAAGGTTACTGCTAATGTAGATGAGGGTAAGGGTGTAGATTTGGTGTATCTGGATTTTCAGAAAGCATATGACAAGGTGCCACATAAAGGCTTGTGAAAAAAATTATATCTTTAGATTTGAGGGATAAGTTAGCAAATTGGATAAAAGAGTAGCTGGATGGAAGAAAGCAGAGGGTTGTTACAAATGGAGTTCAGTAAAACTGGATTACTGTCCCAAGTGGGGTACCTCAGGGCTCAGTCTTAGGACCTTCCTTTGCTCTTGTTAATTTACATCAATGTCATAAATGAAAGAATGATCAATAAACTACTTAAATTTGCAGATGATTTTAAGGTCTTTGGTGTTGCTAACTGTGAGGAGTATGCTGCTGTTTTACAAAAGGATTTAGATCATTTGGTGAGTTGGGTGAATAAATGGCAGATGGCTTTTAATTATAATAAATAAATGCAAAATAATGCATGTGGGTTATCATAATTTGAATTATAAGTGTAATTTGGATGGGAATAACCTTAGCAGTGTTATGAAGAAAAGGGATCTTGGTGTAGTGGTTGATCAGTCTTAAACCATCCAAGCAGTTTGCTGTTGCTAGTGGTACTGCCAGTAGGATTTTAGGTTGTATCTACAGAAATAATGAATAGAAGTCTAAAGAGGTTATAATTTCATTGTATAAGTCACTGGTTAAGCCACATTTGTAGTATTGTGTTCAGTCCTGAGCTCCTTACCTTAGGAAGGACAAAGAATTGTTGGAAATGGTTCAGAGAAGGGATACTAGAATGGAGCCTTGAAAAAACAAGAATTAGAGGGGATCTGATTGAGGTGTTTAAGATTGTCAAGGAAATTGATAGTGTTGATGCATCATTTTTTCCCCTACTTAATGGTGAGAATGGTAGGGCTAGGGGACACAAGCATAAGATTGGATTACCACAAAGCAATTTAAATGCAGTGTTTAAACATTTGAGAAATACGATGAATTTCAGTTCATAACTGGTAAGTTTCTGTTTTAAAGTACAAAATTAAATGTTTTGACAAAAGTATTTGTAATTGAAATATTTATTAAGATTCAGCTAGACACGTATTTTAATGTTTTAATAATGACATTTAAACTTGAAAGTATACAAATATTCACATACTATACTTGGAAAGTGTAAACTTAACTAATCAATATTATTACATAGTGGTATAATGTGAGTAAAGAACACTCCACATATTCATTGAATGTGAACTTACATAAAAGTATTTTTTAATTTTAAGTTAATTAAAGAGTACAAAAAAATTAAATTGTTCAAAATAATAATGTAAAGTCAACAGTACTGCAATTTCTGATAGATCTGTTGAAACTCTGTTTTAAAACATAAAGACATACGAAATATTATGGCCCAGTTGGTTTGGATAGTTATATTCTTTCATTATAATAAAATTCTGCTGTCTTTGAAAACATCTATTTTTTTTTTTATTATTCACATTTTTACATAATCTTTTACACCTAACAGTTTCTTCAATAAATCTGTATGTGTTTGTGAAGTAAACTGTTAAGCATCTTCATAAATAAACTCAGTGTCTTATTATGATTTCCAAAACTGAAAAAAGTAACCTTAGCATGAAAAGTTGACTTGCAGTCTATTATACTTTAATAAAATAAAAATAAAAGTTGACTTATGCAAGATGAATCATATACATCAGTGTGTTAACATAAAACTTTTGAGCTGTCATACTTCTTTAAAGTTGTTTTACTGATAAATGAAAAAATCCCTAGTTTCTACTAAAAATATTAAGTGTTTAAGCACATTTGTATTAGAAAAACCGCTGATGAATTATAATTTTTGTTGTACATAGTTAAATGGAAACTGTACACTTTTTTGAGAAAAACAAAACAGTCATTATTTTAAACCCTGAAATGATATTAATATTAACCTGCTCCAGAAGGGCGAGCTGTTGTTCCAAATAACCAATACCATCTTCATAATGGCCCATGTTGAGCCGGGTGATTCCCAGATTTCCTAAGGCTTGGGTTTCTAGGGAACAATCTCGAAGTTCTCTTGCTCGTTCCAGTTGTTCCTCATAGCATTTCATGGCATGGGTATAGTTCCCTAGAGACATGTGGACAGCTCCCAGGTGACCATGAGCTTTACATTCTCCTTTAACATCACCCATTTCCTGACGGACAGTCAGTTCCTGATGGGAAAACAGTAATGTTCATAAAAGATACTTTTTTTTTTGCCGTGGTAAACTACAGAACAGTATAACTTGTAGCATTTAAAATCAACTATATCTATGACAACTGATATGCTCACTCACAAGCCATAATAAATTGACATGTATAAAATATAATAAAACTCTTTCACTATGGGGTCGGTCAATTTGACTGACTTTGTAACCATGGGGTACTCACTATAGTTTCCATACTATATCTTTTAATACACTATGTGTATCTTCACAAAATTTGGCAGACTTTCAGAAAACACTACAAGTATTTTGTAAACAAAAAAAATGTTTTTTGATGAAGCATTTTTTATTAAAGATTTGTCTGTGAATATTTCGAATCTTTTTTGAGTCCGTGAATATATATATATATATATATATATATATATATATAGTATATATTCTATATACTACGTACTAGTAAGTAAAGTAGGTTCTATTAGTTAAGTAATTAAAATTAACTTTACTTCTACTACTACTAAAACCTAACTAA